GAAGGGTCTAGGCCCGAAACGTCAGCCTTCCTGCTCCTATGATGCTGCTTGGCCTGCTGTGTTCATCCAGCTCTACACCTTGTTATTTCAGATTTTCCAGCATCTGCAGTTCCTACTATCTCTGAATCTCCCCTGACTCTGATGGGTGACTTTGCTGACAAATGAACAGGCAAGGTCCAGTGCCAAGGTCCTGGGCGCTCACCAGTGCTGGACTGGGCCAGTTGCAGATAGTCAAGGGGCACTGCAGAGATGCAAACAAACTAGCATTATGAGGAATCGAAGTTAACAGGAACCCTGGACTTCCCTTGCAAAACACACAGCATGTTCAGTCAGCTCCAGTGGCCAAGGAGGATCCAGGGACTTCTTCCCCCCGTCACAACAGCCATCAGCTCCATTCCATTCTGGCTGTTTTCCCCTGCAAGCTGTGAAGCAGTGAGCAAAGGGTCTCTGTGATGAGAAGGCTATGAATACCTGCATGCTAGCAGGGCAGCAATGTACAAGTGCGCTTGCTTGCTTGTGCTGGCGTGCAAGAGAGGTAGTGAAGGATGAGCCCTTGAAGAAATGAAGCCTTGCCCTGGTAAGGATGCGGAATTGTGAGGCATAATGGTACTTCAGAGGTCTAGCCTCTAGTTATTGGCAAAGAGCATAGGAGCATTTCAAGCCAGTTGCCTACCTTGCTCTGACACTGCAACCAGTTGAGTATCACAAAGTTGGTCCATCACCACGCTCTCCAGCTCGCTGATTAGCACATCCATCTCACTCTGACAGGAAAACACCTCCTCTCCTTTACCACCCACATCGTCAGCTCAATGCTGGCTTCCTCAAAACATGGCACCCTGCTTCCTGCTTCCTCTAGGAGATCCAGCAACCAAATAAGCCAGGCTTAGCAGTGGCTTCAGACAGCACAGGTGGCGGTACAAGGGCAGCACAGGATGACATAATCAAGGTGTAGCACACAGTCAAATGCAAAGCAGGTCCCACCTGGGAGATGGGCCAAGCAAACAGATAGCAGTCGCTCAGAGAGTGCAACGTTTGATACAAGTTGTCAAGAGGCATCCAGAAGTACAACTCAAAGCCGCTGCCCACCGAAGGCAAACAGTCATGTGCCCCTCTAAAGCCCACAGCAGCTTTTAATGCCCCCTCCCGCCCTTTTAGGTGTCAGCTTTGCTTCAGAATATTGGACTCAGCAGGTCATGGAATTGAGTTCAACTTGGCTACTTGGCACATAATCCAGGCTGGCACAACCAGTGCAGGACTGAGGAACTTTTCAGATGAGACATTAAACCCAAGTCTCATCTGCCCACTGCAGTGGATGCAAAAGATTCCATGCCACTACTTCAGAAAGCAGAAGTTGCATTTTCCCCTGGTGTACACCAGTTAACTCACTGAAGAGATTATCTGGCAATTATCTGATTGCTGGTGGTGAGAGAGGTTGGTGTACACTAAGTGGCTGGTGCATTTTGCGTATACTTGCAGTTAACACATTTCAGAAGCCGTTTGAGATAAACTGAGATTGTGAAAGGTTATATAAACGCAAATTTTGTCTGTGTGATGTGTGTGTGTGTGTGTGTGTACATGTACGTAATATGTGTATGTTATATGTGTGTGAGATATGTATGTGTGTAGAGTGTGTGTGTGTGGAGTGTGTATGTGTAGAGTGTGTGTAGAATGTGTGTGTGTGTGTGTCTGTGTGTATATAGAGTGTGTATAGATTGTGTGTGTAGAGTGGGTGTGTGTGGGTGTGTGTGTGTAGAATGCGTGTGTGCGTAGAGAGTGCGTAGAATATGTGTGTGTGTATAAAATGTGTATAGAGTGTGTGTAGAGTGGATGTGTGTGTGTGTGTATAGTGTGTGTGTATATATATATATATATATATACATAGTGTGTGCGTCTAGAATGTGTGTGTATATTGTGTGTGTGTATAGAGTGTGTGTGGATGTAGAATGTATGTGTGTGTGTGTATATAGTGTGTGTAGAATACGTGTGTGTATAGAGTGTGTGTGTGTGTATATAGAGTATGTGTGTGTGTGTGTATATAGAGTGTGTGTTTGTGTGTGTGTATAGAGAGTGTGTGTGTGTGTCTATATAGAGTGTGTGTGTGCATGTATATAGTGTATGTATATAGAGTGTGTGTGTGCGTGTATATAGTGTGTGTGTGCATGTATATAGAGTGTGTGTGTGCGTGTGTGTGTGTGTGTGTGTGTTTTGGGTAGCTCAGTTGGTTGGATGGCTGGTTTGCGATGCAAAGTCACCCCAGTGTGGGTTCAATTCCTGCACCAGCTGAGGTTACCATGAAGGTCCCACTTTCTCAAGCTGTCCCCTAGCCTGAGGTGTGGTGACCCTCAGGTTAAACTGCCACGAGATGTCTCTCTCTCTCTGTCATGACGGAGCAGCCGTATGGTCCAGTTAGGGCAGCAGGGTACTTGTTGTTTGTGTTGTGTCCCCACACTAATCCAATACACATAAATGAGCTTTTTGAGGAGAGTGAGGTCTCAAAGCTTGACCCCCTGAGAATGCTGCACATCCAGGGTATTCCATTTAAATCACACTCATGGAACATCCTGACAGTTATTCATTGCACTGCCACATGGTGACAAGTCCTGGTTGATGGTCGTTGATCCTGGCCCTATGATAGTTGGACATAGGTTGTTCCCATGATTAGCTTTGTCTGAGTTGTTTGAGGTATCAAAGGGAGGCCAGACATGGTCCAGCAGTAAAAGTAGAGTTGCTACCAGAAGCAAGTGCACAAACTCCTCGTGGTCAGCTCAACAGTTACCTTCAACAAGATCCCAGGGCTGCAACCCACTTAGCAACAGTTGCAGCATGACTTTGAACAATTTGAGCAGGGAAAGCAGGGATCACTGTCCGTATTTGTAGAAGTAGCCACAACAGAACACAATAGCTAACACCGGAAAAAATAACAGAAACAAGATCAAAAACAAATCAGTGGGAATAATCTTGGAGTACGCCAAAACAAAAAGCAGGATGAAAGGAGATAGAGAATCGAATACGCAAAGTGTACAACTCCTCCACAGCATCCACGCTACCCTGCTGAACTTTATCAAGCCATGGTTCTTATATCACAACTCTCAACTTTTAATCCAACGAAGAGCTAACTACACAGTGTCACGTGACAAGGATAATTCATGCCAGGTTTTATTTCATCCCAACGAATTTTACTGAAGGGCACTCAAACACAAAACAATGTTTCCTTTATAATTATACCATATTCTAACCATTAAAATAACTTTCTTCAGAATCAGTTTTGCCAATCGTTTTTTTTCAGGAGGGAGAGTAGAGAACATTACAGTGCTCAAATAGGCACAGGAAATCCTAAAGTGACATGAAGGAGGGTAGAGGGACAAACAAAAATATTAACCTGCCCTGCCCAATTTAAAGCCTTTTGTGCATTGCCAGAGCTTCCCATTTCTGGGAGTGGTGGAGGGGGAGCCTGTCTTCTCTGTTCTCGCATAGATCCATTTTATTGCAACCCCAACTTGTGGAGGTGCCTTGGGAACAACCTCTGGCAACTTTCAAGGCACAATCACAAGCTGTTTGTCGCAGGTCAGTAGGTCAGACAAATGTGAGCATAAAACAAAAGGAGGCCAGGATCAGCTCAAAGTCCCATCAACCTCTCAGAACATTGCAGAAGAAACTGGAGATGAAAAGCCATATTTACAGTGCAAGAGACCGAGATGCTTACTTTGCCCACTTGAGATCTAATGCAGTAAAAGGGGTTACCCCAATAACAAACAGATGGAAGAAGCTCAAAACCTATCACGCCAATCATGTTTTGGGTCTTCTCTGTCAACTCGCCGCCTCTTCCTCGGCATCCTATTGGCTCCACAAAGCACCTTTAAATGATATGAATGGTGTTTTTTTTTTATGAAAGGCAAGCACGTCATTATTGACGAACCAATTCAGAAGTCCCTTTCGGCCAAGAAAGTATTTGGCGAGAGGTCAAACAAATTTCCAATGGTGAAGTTTCCGTCCACTGGGACAACTCTCGATTCTGTGCTCTCCTGGAGGGCCTTGTGCGATGAGGAAGCCATTTGTCAAGCTCAGTGTTCATCATTGTGAACTAAATCTTCCAAACGTGGCCCACGTACTCAAAGCTAGGAACTGGAGTGGGTCACCGGGTCCCTTGAGCCTGTTCTGTCTGAACTCAGAGTTAATGTACCACAGAAAGAGACGTCTTGGCCTAATTTCACTTCAGAATCGGCCACGCTGCACATGGATTCGGAGGGAGGTGGGGAGCAGGGGGAGGAAAGAAGACTCCTCCACCAACAATCCCTGCATAGAGTGAAGTAAAGCAGCTCGGACAGAGTGGAGATCCTACGCAAAGGATCCTAAGCAACGTCTCGGGACTGCGGGACGCGTTGTGAATGGGTTGATAAAGAACACTAATAACCTGTAAACTTTCGCAGTAACTCCGTGCAGGTTTCCGCCACCATTTCATCATCGTATCTCTCCATGATGAGGGCTTCTTCTCCGCAGATCCAGCCGCTCAACACATGCCCGTACCGCTCGGCCGGGTACAGCACATCAAAACTGCAGATCTTCTTGTACCACAGGTCCTCTGGGTAGGCAAGGCTCTCATTTTCCGCGTCATCCTCCCAAACAAACTGGATGCTGTTGCACTCGGGACTCCAGAAGGGCTCCTCGAATTCCAGGAAGATCTTGTCCGTGGTGCTAATGCCCAGCATCTGGATGGCCGAGACCTTCTCTTCAGGGAGACGCGGGTGGAACATGGTCTCATGGTACTTCTTTAGCACTCCCAAGGACATGGTCACGATTACATGATCGGCTGGGATCAGCTCGCAATCTTCACACTCCACGTAGACCTGATAGCCGTCTTCCTCCTGGCTGTCAAGGTTGTGGCTCGGGAACGAGCTGCTGATCAACTGGATTTCCTTGCTGACCGAGCGGTTCCAGTGAATGTACTTGACCGGCTTGTTCAGCTGGATCACTGATTTGGGGATCTCCTGCGCCAGGATCTCCACTATGTTAATAAAGCCACTCGGGATGACATGGTGGGCTCCAGGGATTTCTGTCCACTCACCAAACTCACTCAGGGATACTTCATCCATGCTGTGACAACTGCTCTCACAGCTTTCAACCTGCCAAAGGAAATGAGACACAATTGAAATCAAGAGGAAGGGAGAAATCTGGCCCATCCTCCCCCAAAACCCAAGCACAGAGTCAGATTACTGCGATTCAAACCCACATCAGAAAGTGCAGAGTGGGAGATAGTCATCCTGCTCAGTCCTGACACTGACCATGTAAAGTCTGCCTAGCTATGGACTAGATAGACAGGGTGGTGAAGGAGGTGTTTGGCACACTTCCCTTCATTGGTTGGTGCATTGAGTATCGGAGTTGGAACATCATGTTGCAGCTGTGCAGGACATTGGTAAGGCCATTTTTGGAATATTGCATTCAATTCTGGTCTTCCTGCTGTAGGAAAGATCTTGTTAAACTTGAAAGGGTTCAGAAAAGATTTACAAGGATGTGTTTGAGGCTGAATAGGCTGAGGCATTTGTTTTACCCTGGAGTGTCGCAGGTTCAGGGGTGACCTTATAGAAGTTTATAATATCATGAGGGGCATGGATCGGGTGAATAGCCAAGGTCTTTTTCCCAGGGTAGAAGACTTCAAAACTAGAGGGCATAGGTTTAAGGTGAGAGGGGAAAGATTTAAAAGGGACCTGAGGGACAAACTTTTTCACGCAGAGGGTGGTGCATGTATGGAACGAGCTGCCAGAGGAAGTAGTGGAGGCTGGTACATTTATAACGTTTAAAAGGCATCTGGATGGGAATATAAAGAGGAAGGGCTTAGTGGGATATGGGTCAAATGCTGGCAAATGGGATAAGATTTATTTCGGATATCTGGTTGGCACAGACAAATTGAACCAAAGGGTTTGTTTCCATTCTGTACATCTGCATGACACTAGATTTGTCCACATTCAATCTCCAGACCTGTTGTGCATCAAAGTACTTTGATCCCCAAACACAAACCCTGAGTATTCAGCTGGACTGTCCTCCTCCATCTTTTCCCAGCCTCCCACCTCTCCCAAAACGAAAACAGAACCAGGCTGACTTTTTCATCATTTCTGCTCAAACCTCTCCCCTTAACACGTCCATCCCACTTCCCAGGTCCATTTTCAAGCAATGAATTATTTTAGCCTTTGGTGGGCAGTTTTCTCCATACTGTCATTATTTCGTGCAGAATTTTTATTCGTTCGCAGGATGTGAGTGTTACTGGCCTTGCCAGCGATTATTGCCCATCCCTAATTACCCAGAGTGCAGTTAACAGTCCAGCCCATTGCTGTGGATCTGGAATCACATGTAGGCCAGACGAGGTAAGGATGGCAAATTTCTTTCCCTAAAGAACATTAGTGAACCAGATGGGTTTTTCCCAACAATCAGCAATAGTTCTATGGTCATCATTAGAGTTTTAATTCCAGATTTCTATTGAATTCGAACCTGGGTCCCCAGAACATTACCTGGGTCTCTGAATTAACAGTCCAACAATAATACCACTATCACCTCCCCGTCATGGTCACCATTCAACTCTTAATTCAAAGCTGAATAAAGATCCCACTATCTGCCATGGTGGAATTTGATCCTGGGTCCCCCAGAACATTACCTGGGTCCTTAGACTAATAAAACAGTGATAATACCAGTAAGCCATTCGCTCCACCTATTAGATATATTTCTAATGATTACCCATGTGCTAGCTGACTTACACTGGCTCCGAGTCAAGCAAATCCTTGTTTACAAATCCATCTGGGCACTATCTAGATCTGCATTCTCCTCCAACCCTACATCCCTCCAAGTTACCTGTGTTCCCCTCATTCCATACTCGTTAACATCCCTGATTTAAATTGCTCAACATTGGGGGTTGTGCCTTCAGCTAGCAAGACACTAAGCTCTGGAATTGCCTTACTAAACTTCTCCACCTCTTTTTTTCTTTAAAACACTCCTGAGGACATCTATCTCTTTGACTGCCTGCTTAAAATGTGACTCAGAGTCTCGTTTTGCTTTTTAATTGTCCTGCCAAGACCCACATTGAGATGTTGACGACAAAGGGATGACAGAATAAATACAACAGTGTTCCCTGGTTGAAGTGGCAGTGAGAGGGTACAGAGATATTATATGCAAGAGAGTTAGAACTGAGAGCAGGAGATTTATTTCCGTAACAGAGCACGATATGCATTATCAAAATCAGCAATCAAAGCAGAGACTATGTCAACATTTAAAATTAGGTGACAGCAATGTTTAAAGGGAAGTCAAATAAAGGGATATGGTAAGAGGCTAAGCACACAAAGTAAGGCCTGCAGGCAATAAAGTGTTACAGGGAAAAGGCAAGAAAGAGGATGTGAGGAATGTCACATTGGCCATGATGCTATTGAATGGTGGAGCAGGCTCAAGGGACCTGTTTCTGTAGATGTAGAAACAGCCTACACCTATTCCTGTTTCTCATTGTCTTACGGCATATCCTGGTTGGGCTGAATGGCCTCTTTATTAAGGGAACAGGAAGCGATCTGCCATTCACCTCTTCCTTCTGATGTAAAAGTTTCACTAAACAGCTGCTAGCATGGACAGGAGACAGCTGGAGAATTTCCTAAAGTCCTGCGATTAATTTATTTCCAGGTTTATCTTATGGCAGTCTGTGAAATGTAAGATGATACAGTGTGTTGTGTAATATGTTCCCTGGAGAACAGGTATGGGAGATTGTATGTGTGTAATTGGTTACACAAGGCTTCAGCTTGTAAAGGTAATGTAGAATATAATGAAATGTGATTTGGTTCTCAATGTTTACTAAAATGTTATAATTGCCTTCAAAGCACATTTTATTTTCAACCTGCCTTGATCTTTAAAAAAAAATTCAAAGCCAGAAATGTAGCCGAAAGCTAATTTATTTTCACAGAATTCAAATGCAGCCAAGGCAATTTTCCTGCAAGAACATTTGTGTGATTCCATTCGCTCAGTTCAAAGATCAACCTCCCTTGATGCCAAGAGGCTGAGCTGATTTCCCTTGTCTCCATCTTCCCTTATCCCTGAAGCAGGTTAGATTCAGTTTGGGAAGTTGGTACAGCTACCCTAGACCAGGAAAGGCTAAAGGGAGACTTGATAGAAGCGCTTAAAAAACCATGGGAAGTTTGTTACAGTTGACTCGGGAGAAAAAAAAATGACTGTTTTCACTAACAGAAGGGTCAACAACCTCAGAGGAAAACTTTAAAGTAAGTGGATAAAAAAGCCAGGGGACAGAGGAAGAGAACTGTTCGGGTAGGTCTGCATTGCCACAAGGAGTGGTGGAAGCACCTGCCAGTATGACTTTTGATAAGTGATTGGACTTCTCTCTCTACTCAGAAGGGAAATTTTACAGGGCTATGGGAAAGAAAACAACGGAATAGGACGCCTTCAAATGGGCCAGTTCAGGCGTGATGGGCCAAACATTTTTTTTTCCTTTATTCATTCATGCAATGAGGGCATCGCTGTCAGCATTTATTGCCCAGAGGGCAGTTAAGAGTCAACCACATTGTTGTGGGTCTGGGGTCACATGTAGGCCAGACCAGGTAAGGATGGCAGTTTCCTTCCCTAAAGGACATTAGTGAACCGGATGGGTTTTCCCCAACAATCGACTAATGGGTTCATGGTCAACATTAGATTCTTAATTCCAGATATTTATTGAATTCAAATTCCACCATCTGCCATGGTGGGATTCAAATCTGGGTCCCCAGACAATATCTGGGTCTCTGGATTAACACTCCAGTGATAATACCACTAGGTCATCACCTCCCACTCATTGTGTGCTTCCTATCCTACAATTCGCTTTCGAAGACAGCCCCTACCTTCAAGAATTGCTGAAGCATGGCCAACTTCAGCTCCTTGGTGATACCCATGTCCTCGGTATCAGCTTTGAGGCGCTTTCGCACCCCACTCCTCGTGAAAACACCAACACTGTTTTGGCTTTCTTCACCAACTGGCCTTCCCCGTTGGAAGAACTCCTGAGTCAGGTTGTAGACCTATCAAAAGACATTAGTCAACGTCAAATATCTATATCGACAGTAACTTGAAGAAAAACATCACCTAATGTAATCCTGGAGGACAAACAGTAATAAAAATCAGAAGGTGCCAGACATAATCATTGGGTCGAGCAACATCCTTGGAGAGAGACAGAATTAAACGTCTCAGGTCAATCATGTTTCATTACAACAGAAGGAAGGTTGCAATTGAAGAGTTTTGGACCTGGTTGAAGAGGGAAAGGGGCAGGAAGAACAAAGTGGGAAGGTCTGTGATAGGGCGAAGGGCAGGAAGGATTCACTAACAAGATATTGCCTAATGCTCCAGCCAAAGAGATTGGTAATGGGTGCAGTAAAGAAACAAAGGTCATGTACAGATGAAGTGTGACCAGCAATAAAACTGCTTTTTGAGTGCAATAGTAAGAGATAAAGTAAAAAAAAAGCCAACTGATGAAAGACAAAAAAGCACAAATGGTGCTAAGAAGGAGGATGCAGTTCTGTTCCTCGAGTTTGCATTGGGAGTCTTTGGAAGAATGTAGTAGGTCACGGATAGAAAGGACAGAGAAGGAGCAAGCTGTAGAATTAAAACGATAGGTGCTAGGAAGCTTGGATTCCTGCCTCAAATCTGAACAAGGTGTTCCATAATGCAAACGTCCAGTATGGAGTTGACCATATCATGAACAGCAAATACAAAATACCAAATTGAAAGATGTACGTGTACAATAAAGGTTCATGATATTATTTGATTTATATTTCTAAATTGTGTGTTAAGAAAGGAGGGAAATAGTTTGCATTTCCTTTTGAGCTCTGCAAGTGGTGCAGAGTGTTCTGAAGCTTGGTTTATATGCAATAAAATTACGTCTTTAGAACCCTTGAGATGAATAGCTCAGTGCATTCGTAACAGGAGTAGAAAAAGAGAAAAAAGGCCTATTGCATAACAACAAAGCAACCAGTAATGCAGGAAACTAAGACAGAAACAAGTTCGTTTCGAAAGGCAGTGTTTAGGTGTCTTTCAGAAGAAGTAGGTCATTCAGAAAGAGACTGGGTCTACAGCAGCAGCAGCAATGCAACTTTAGCAGTCTCCGAAAACTCAGAGCTGGGGAAAAAGTACTGAGTATCTTAAGAGAAAACAAGCAGAGACAGAAAACTGCTGCAAGCTGAGTACATGGAAAGTTCATGCATTTACTCTGGAAGTGTTTAGGAGTTACAAGTTGTCATTTAGTGGTACAGAACTTGAGCATTGCTGAGAAAAGAAACATTTTATTGAAGTTTTTCATCCTTTTGTGCTGATGAGTGCAAGCTGAAAAATTTTGACAAATAGTGTCTTTTTTCTCAAATTTAGAAGTCAGTGAGAAGAAAGCTCCAGGAACCAATTACTGTTGTTTCAACTGACCAAGGGACTGCAGGCAGAATGACCCATCACTGAGATGTGAGTATCTGTAAGGGTGTTGTTGGGGATAAAGGGATTGTATCTTTATTCCCATATTTCTGATATTTATAATAAGAACATTTCAATTAATTCTTGGATAGTGGAACATAGTTCATGTATTTCTTTTATGTGATTAACTCTGATGTTCTTTTGTTAAAATGTACGTTGACAGCCTCTTGTGAAAATGTTCAGTGATTGGTCAACATTGTAAACAAATACGAATACAAAACATGGTCTATCAAGTCGGTTCACTCTGGGACCTGACTTGTCCAGAGTTACCATTAACTGGGATCATAACACATGTAAATCATTACTACACTTGGAAGTAGTGCTTAGGATGGTGAGATTGGAGAAAGTGAAGGGGTAGGTGGTGGCACGGTGGCTCAGTGGTTAGCACTACTGCCCTCACAGTACCAGGGACCTGTGTTCAATTCCAGCTTTGGGTGACTGGCTGTGTGGAGTTTGCACATTCTCCCTGTGTCTGCAGGGGTTTCCTCCAGGTGCTCCAGTTGCCTCCCACAGTCCAAAGATGTGCAGTTTAGGTGGATTGGCCATGCTACAGTGTCCAGAGATGCACAGGCTAGGTGGACTAGCCATGGGAAATGCAGGGTTACAGGGATGGGGGATGGGGGTATGGGTCAGAGTGGGATGTCCTTTGGAGGGTCTGTGTGGATTTGATGGGCCAAATGGCATGCTTCCACAAAGTAGGAATTTTATGATTCTAGGTGTTACATTTCCTGAATTTCCACAGAAACATGCCATTGTGAAGTCAGGGCAGGGTGAACTGGTTGATTATACAGAATTAGCTGACTGAAGCTAGAACAGAGTTTATGGATGCTCTTATTCACCATTGTCTTTGTTCTCAACAGAATGGACAACACTGCAAAGTAATCACTGTACTGATTCCGAGATGCCACAGATCAATTGTACAGCAAGAGACTGGTGTTATATGTCCTCAAGGACATTGAGGGCCAATACAATCTCAACTATGATGTAATCCACATTTCAATATTGTTCTCTTGTTTGCTAGCTCAAGTCAAGTTGCAAGGCGGTTCTGCTTTTCAAAATACAAACAGGAAGAGGCCATTGGAAGGATGGGCTTCTCAGCAAGTCCCAGGCATGCAGCCTAAAGTAAAAGACACTGAGTATTCCCATTCTGCCAGGTTACAGTCCCCATGGTGATCCAGTAGGACTATGGCAACTTTACTTCCTCTACTGAGAGAGTTCTGGACTACAGAATCACCCCTTTTAAAGCATAGGAACTAAATTGTTTGGAAATGTTGAGCCTTCAAATGCTAAACCCCATAGTTTGAAATCCAGAAGAAATGCATGGAGTTGTGCACATTTACGAAAGACTGAGATATCGTCCCACCTCGTTGTATACATCGCTGAATTCCTCAACGACATCCTTAGGTATTCTCTGTCCACTGCTGGTGCAGTAGTGTGCCACTCCATTCCTGGAGTAGAGACTGATGCGGCCAATGCTTCGCTCCCTATCTGTAGTTTCTTCAAGCAGACCATGGTCTTCTGCTAGCTGGTAAATCGGGTTCCCATGAGCACCGTGAATCCAAGTTGCCCCAAGGTCAAATGTAGCACAGCCTGAGCAAAGAATATTGTATATACAGATATTATTTTTTTCATAAAGTGAAACAAGTCAGCTAAGTGGCAACTGAAACAACCAGAGGAAAATATTTTATAAATAGTGCGAGTTTAGAATCAGGAATGCACTGCCCAAGAGTGAGATGGAGACAGGGTCAATTGAGGCTTTCAATGGGGAATCAGACCATTAACCAGAAGAGAACAATGTGCAGAATTATGGGGAAAAGACAGGACAGTAGCACCAGGTGAATTACTCTTGCAGAGAGCTTTTACAGACATGATGGGCCAAATGGCCTACTTGTGTCTTAAACAGTTGTAAGATTTGTACTGTGGTCACACACAAAACAAACATTAAAATAAAAACAAAGAATTGCAACTGCTGGAAAACTGAAACGAAAATAGATATTGCTGGAGAAACTCAGCAGGTCTGGCCACATCTGTGGAGAGAAAGCAGAGTTAATATTTTGGGTCCAGTGACCCTTCTTCAGAACAGAATTGCTTTCTCTCCAGAAATGCTGCCAGATCTGCTGAGTTTCTCCAGTGAGATCTGTTGTATAAGAGAAACAAACATTCTTTTTAGAGCATAGAGAAAAACCATTGCACCTTAGTGAGCAATTTGAAAAGGATGTTAAAAACCAAAAGAACTGCGGATGCTGTAAATCAGGAATAAAAACAAAGTTGCTGGAAAAGCTCAGCAGGTCTGGCAGCATCTGTGGAGGAGACAACAGAGTTAACGTTTCGGGTCCGGTGACCCTTCCTCAGAACCGGACCAGAAACGTT